GCGCCTGAGGGGGCTCAGCCCCCGACCCCGCAGCGGCGGGGTGTTATCTCGCTGTGAGGCGCTGGTGACATCTAGTGGGAGCGGAAAAGCTTTGAGTTAACGGGCGCGGGAAAGGGAGATCGAGTTTAATGGCGAGAGTGGGTTCCGTGGGCCCGCGGGTTGATGGTTGCTGTGGGAACCCTGGTGTGGGTTCCCGCTCTCTGGTCAGGGCGGGCAGGGCCCCCGGTAGAGGCCTCCTCCCTCCGGTGGACAGGGCCCGGGGTGGAGGAAAATGGGAAATAAAGCATTGGCTGCGGATCAGCGATTGCTTCAAGTTCATTGCCCCCAAAGAAGTCCCAGCAAAAAGCTGTTGCTGAAGCTTTGAAGCCCAGGAACACAGATACTGCCAAGAATTTTACTTTCTCGCAGATAATCAGGACTTGGCTGATAAATTGAAAAAATTGTCCAAAGGAAGAAAGGTCAGTGTTTAAAGTTGACTGTAAAGCCTGTTCACATTCCATTGCTGTTTGCAGTGCAATTCCTTCAGGTACCAGTGATAGGATCCTCACAGGATCAAAGCAAGCTGTATGATACACAGCATTTACACGCTGGAGCGTGTGTTGTGCCACCGCGGCAGGGCTTGAACTGCACGCTCTTGAGTTTATTTCAGTAGAGACGCTGTCATCCTATTGTGACTTAGTCTTTGAGATGTTTGGGAGAGGGAAACGACTTCACTGCTGGGAACTGTGGCTTTTCCCCTTGAAAACTCCTGTATTTAAGTGTTGGGAGGGCTGAATTTCTTGGTATAGTAGAGTTTTGCCTGGTATTTTATGGGGTGTTTAATGGGAAATGTTACCTTAGGCTTACCATTTACGCAAAAACACAGATCAATTTTATGTACACAAATGTGCTGCACTTCCATGTGTCTGAAATCTAAAAAAACAAGGGGGTGTGCGGGGAGGTGTGTGTGGATCCTCCAGCCCCCCTATTCATGTTTTTTTGTGAAGTCCCTCCACCAGCTTTGAAAAGATTTCTTCTGGAAAAGGTAATTTTACTCCAAAGGCATGATGAATGTCCTGTGACTTTGAGCTTATTTTACATTAATATTTGATGGAAAAACAGATTTTCCTTAACTTGCACACCAAAGGGAATTGCAGTTGGTGTGCTGTTCTTTGCGGTTTCCTCACTGGGGGAATATGTATAGGATGTATATATAGCATATAGTCTGTCCAGGGTTTGCTGGCTTGGGTTTTCCTTCCCAAAATCTCTCTTTAAGGAGCAGCCAAGGAACTTTCCAGGAAAAAGCCCCACTTAACGCTCAGGTGTCAACAACTGCACAAAAGCCAGAGCTTTAGATCTGGGCTGAGGTTTCAAACCGCTTTAAGCAGAGCACAGCCAGCCACAAAAAAGGATGGAGTCACCCCTCCTTTCTCTCCCTGTTCAGACAGGCCAGCACAAAGATCCTGCTCATGTCGCTAAACCCTAGTAATGGGGTGACGTGGCTCCTCGGGCTGATCTGCCTTGGCTCAGCGGCAAGGGGTGATGTGGCTCCTCGGGCTTGATCTGCCTTGGCTCAGCGGCAAGAACGCTAACGCCGGCATGCGGGAAGGGCTGGGAATGAGTGGAGGGTAAGACAGCACCATGTGATGAGTTAAAACAACTCAGCAAACCAGAGCCATTTTTCAAGAGCAAAATCAGTGGTGGGAAAATCCAGTAAGGACAGTAGGGCCTTTCTGCTCTTCGAGGAAGTGTAAGAAGCTGATTGGTATCAGCTGATGAACAATTCCCCCTTTTCTTTCTACAAAAGAAACCATTTAATTCTTCTTCCAGAAGAAAAAGTAACTAATTTTAAGGGAACCGAAGTCATCCCCGCCCCTGATAAAAGACAAAACTTTTCCTACAGTTGCTGCCTCTTCCTTTTGTGCGGGATCGTGGTGGCTACATGAGCCAGCGCTTGGGCACACCAGGTCCCTTCCTTCTACTGGATTAAAAGTCCCTCTGCCCCCACAGATGCCCTGGGCTTCCCAGGCTGGGGGTCTGAGAAGTTGGCGGTTCCTCTCTGGTTCTGAATTCCCCCTGGGGTTTCCTCACCGCTCGCACTCCAGACCGTCTCAGCTTCCTCTGGTCATGCTCCCTTCTAATCTTTCCTGCCCACACCTTCAGGCAATCTTGAAAATACTTGCTTAGGGAAATCATGAGTCCTGTTTTTTTTATGTCTTTTGGGTACTTTTATTCATTTACTTGAAGGATTTACTTGTTTGCTCAGATGTACGTGACTGGCTGAGTCAGGAATAGGGATAGCAGAGTCACACAAACATGCCTCAGAAGTTAATACTAACAGTTGTTAAAAATACAAGTTAGAAATAAAGCCTTTCCTTCAGCCATGTGTTGCAGCCAGTACCCGCCAGCCAGCACCACATGTCTTAGTGCAGAGCCACACTGCCCCAGCTCCGGCAGAAATGTGTGGTTTCCCCTGAGAAAGCAGCCTTGGCGTATCGGCTCTCATCCCTACCCTTGATGCTTAATTTGAATTCGTGCCGATATGAAGTTCTGCGGCAGCGTTGACTATCGGCATTCTTCGGGGTTATCTGTAATAAATCTGTGTGTCTGTTGTGCCCCCATGGAACTGGATGGCAGCAAGATGCAAGCTTCTAGTGTTGGCGCATCATTTGGAGATGAGTATTTCTTTAATCAACTCCGAGCTTTCTGTGAGGGCTGAGAAATTTTGAATTGGAGCCCAGGAGTCGCTGGTCAGCCTTCAGATATTAGGAGCTAAAGAGAGATCTGTGAACTTTCTGAGTGACTTCTGCCCCTCTGCTCTGCTCTGGTGAGACCTCACCTAGAGTACTGCGTCCAGCTCT